GCACTGTAGCTGAGAGAGGGGGTGTGTCCTAAGGTGTGGCTGAGGGTGTGCCTGTAGTACCACCCTTTCCTCCGTCACTTATTTATGATGATTGACACCATCATTTATGAGCTAGAGTAATTAATTGTTGTAAATGTCATAGCCTTATAAGTTGCACACGTCATAGTCTTCCTCCGTCCTATATTCTTGAAAGACCATCTCATGATATAAGTACTCGAAATGACTTTGTTTAATAACTAAAAAAACAAATTTGATAGGCTTTGCTTGTGCTTATGTTTCTTAATAAAATTTTTTGCCTTATTTTAATGATGTCGTGCAGTCCCTTTTACATATTTATAATGAGTAGTGCTACAGGGACCCCAAATAGGGAACCCCTGAGGTGACAAATGAAGTGTCAGCCCCTAGGGGGCTGACACCTCACCTGTCCCCTCAGGGGTCCCCTATTTTGGGGTCCCTGATGAGTTTTCCATTTATAATAGAAGGGGAAGATACTGGCGGGAAATGGAATAAAGAATAGAGCAAATTCATAAACTATGAGATATTTGAAGATCAATTTTACTTAACTCTCAAACATTTTCTAAAGATTAAAGAATTCTTTTCTAAAGTATAAAAGTAGTTCGTTTTATGAGCGAATGAATATTTTTTTGGTCCATCGATTGGAAGAAAGAAAGAAGATGATAAGAAGCTGCAATTGAGGACTTTTCTTTTGAATGTTTTAATTTTCTCTCTCTTGTGTTCCTTAGGGGTTGCTTGTTTGCCTAAAAAATGGAAATCAAAGAGTAGGAAACCTATTTTTAAGAAAAATTATTTTGAGATTGTTTGGTTGGCTAAAAAAAAGAAGAAAATAAAAAAAATGGGATATGAGTTGTCACATTATTATGGGAACTCATGACCACCTATTTATCCATTGCTCATTTGCTCGCTTAGTATGTAATTCCCTTCTCCCCCTCTTTCCACCTAACATCTGGCCTATGACCACGAAAGAGTTGTTTTTTCTTCACAAAGTTCCCTATATTTGCTCGGATACCAAAGTTATATGGAAGATCTTGTTGCCATGTGTTTGTTGGCGGATCTGGTTCAGTAGAAATTCTCTAATTTTTAAGGATATTAAGCCTATCCCGCTTCTCACAGCTTCTAATATTGCAAGATTTTCTATATTCTAGTCAGGTACCGAAGAGGACAAGATGGCTAGGAGGCTCCGTAGGGCAACTTTTAACCTCGGCCTGCAGGAACTCGCCAAGAAGAACGCCCCCGATGTCGCTGGTGACAATTTCTCAAACAATTCCTAACCCCTGCGACTCTTTATCTCTGCTGTAAGTAGACTCCTTTTGTGATGATGGAACTTTATGGCTTGTGGCTGCTAGCTGCGTCTAGCTTTATTTCAGTTTAGTCACTGTCTTCTATGAGATACTATCTTTTCTAAATAGTGTTTGTTTCCTTTTGGTTTTTTTTCTAGTTGTTGGAAATGCTGTAGGTCAAGTGTGGTAGGTGACGACAATGGTCCGCTCCTTACTCACTTCTTCTATTGTGTTCCTTCAACTAGATCTGATGTAATTCTTCGTCTGAACTTCTTTAATATATTCAATGAACATGATACCTCGCCCTGTTTTTCAGGCTAAAAGACATTATTATTGGATGATGTGAGTGATTTTTTAAGAAAATTTGTTTTGAGGTTGTTTGGTTGGCTAAAAATTATTATTGGATGATGTGAGTGATTTTTTAAGAAAATTTGTTTTGAGGTTGTTTGGTTGGCTAAAAAAATAAGAAAATAAATTATAAGATTTTTTAAGAAAATTTGTTTTGAGGTTGTTTGGTTGGCTAAAAAAATAAGAAAATAAATTATAAGAAACATATTTCTTGTAATAGGTTCTTTTTTGGTGTTTGGTTCATTCATAAAAATAAGAAAATAGATGAGATGAGATGAGTTGTCATTATATCATTGGATGATGTGACCCACACTTAAGGAGATTGATTTCCTAGCATTTTTAAAGGAAATTGGTGGAAATAAAATATTAATGAGATGAGATGAGTTATCACCATAATACTAGATGATGTGAGTGATTTTTAAAGGTGAGATGTGATGGAGATGAGATGAGTTGGATGATGACCCATTTCTTGTGTTTGTTTTATTTTTAGGAGATGATATGAGATGAGTTGTTGAATGAAAATAATATTTTATTTGATGTTGTGGTGAGTTTTAGGGATGAAAATGGATGAAATTAATATTTTATTGATTTCCATGTACTTTTTTCATTTTCTTGATTTTTAGAAAACCAACTAAAGAGCCCTTAAAATAAATTAGTTTCTCTGGTACTTCTTAATTAAAAAAAAATTGGTTAAAATTTTATTGTTCATACATTAAAAAGCTCCAAAATTTTCGCCGAGAAAGGACAAACATAAAGCGTTGGCCTTTAGCACAAGAATTATTAGTTGGTAACTAACTACCTCAAATCAGTAACTCCTTTTTGCGCACCAAGAAAACTCCATTATGCACATCACTAGAAACCATAAATTCTATTGTAGGAAAAAGGACAAAATCTATACACCAGCTAGGCATCTCAATATTATAGAAACCAGCAAGGATAAAAACCAAAACCAAACCTCATCATAAAGCGATGTCGGATTGCCAAAATAGCTTGCGCAATGTAGTTGGAAATATGTATGATGTTTTTGCTATCACCCTTTTGGACAATTATTATTGCATGTTCTTTGAGTCCCACAACTTTTTTCCTCCTAACTCAACTTGCTTTGGCATTGTCACGGAGAAGGAAGACCCATCTTTATTACTTTTATTATTGGATTTTTTTTCGAAAAATTTCCCAAGGACCCAAAATATGGGACCAATAGAGGGAACACATCACCCAATAGGGGGGACAAGTGATGTGTCCCCCTCTTATTGGATAATGAATTGGTCATCATTAATAATAGTCAACTCATTATCCAATAGGAGGGTAACATCTCACTTATCCCTCTTATTGGTCTGTAGCAAAACACTTTTTTTCCTAATGAATGTTAAGGTAAATTAAAGCTAACACTCCTCAACTCGTTTAATGAATCTTAGCTCCCTTTAATTAATGAGTTTTTCTAGAAATGTTAACCCAAAGGTTCAAAGTGCTAATAAATGAGTTGAGAGCATTAAGTGCTACTGAATGTATATATGAGAAAAGGAAAATGATTTAAGGACCCAAAATATGGGACCAAGGGAGGGGACAGGTGAGGTGTCCCCTCCTTATTGCATAATGAGTTGGTCATGCCAACTTATGCCAACTCATTATGCAATAGGGAGGGGACACCTCACATGTCCCCTCCATTGGTCACATATTTTGGGTCCCCGTAGCAGCACTCATGAGAAAATTATGTGCAATTTACCCTAAATAGTAAAGGGGGTTGAAAACTTGAATATGATTTTCTCTATTATTTAACCATCATAGTATTTGATTTATCTGATGACAATAAAGATCATAACATCTATGTTTCGAGTTCAGTTTTGCATGACAAATCCATGACGGTTCGCAAATATATTACTATGTACTTATTTGTGAATCATTCATTCACAAACAACCAATCGTGAATTGGTGTTCAATATTGTTCATAATGATGTATACTTGTTACCCGCGTATTTCATACAAGAAATACTATTTGTTCTCGTACGAAAACTGGGTTAGAACAAATGTCAGCCGTCCATATTCTTGCTAACGCTCAATCAACCGTCAAATCAAATCTCGGATGGCTCTATTTTGTACAGTGGGTCCCGTGTATTTGATGTATATACGGCCAAATACGCGGCGGAAGATCCTGGTGCGTATCTTCCTTTTGCTTTTCCCATAATGCCCCCAGGGTAGGGTCGTCGAGACGAGGATAAGAAGATGACCGTTCGGGTGGGCCCAGGCAAATTAGTATTTTACACATAAAGCCCTGTATTCATATAATTTAAGGTTCTCTCATTTATTTTTGTCATTATCGCATATACCCGCTTTCCTTGTGACTGTAATGAAGATAACATGTCTAAAAGCAAGAAAATAGTTTGAACGTTCAGCTGAGCTCTATTTTTAATCTTATTTAATGTTGGTGGAGATTCATTAAAAAACTATGCAAGGAGTTTTACGGTGCGCTTTAATAAGGTTTATATGATCAATATCATGAATTTCCAATGTTTCAATCTTTATTTTGTCTATCTTTATTTGCTTTGGCGTGGGTGGGGGGATGACTTTGGAAGTGATGTACAGTTAGAACATGCAAGAAATAAACAATAAGAAAATCTAAGTCGTTTGTTCAGATAGCTAAATTGATACGTAATGTAACATGTATTTAATCATGCATTTCAGATTGAACATTATTGTTGAATGATTCCTAAAAAAACATCTGTTTTTACTAAAAACCCTCTTAGAGTTTTTTCTAGTTTATGTTTTTTCTTGATTTCAAAATAAAAAGGGAAAAGAAGTCTGATATTTATAATTTAGTGATGGTAAAGCCATATTGATAGTTTACTGGTATACACATATACTCGCAAAAAATAAATCTTATGCTCGTAGTTTCTTTCATCATATAACTCCATAATGCATTACATCTTATGACATAATATGTAAAAGAATGAAATTTCAAAAAAAAAGCACCATATAATTATATAAATTATATTCATTATCCAATGCATATTGCTTTTTTTTGCTGCCATTGTCTATTTTATGACAGAATGATTTTTCTTAACTAGTCATACAAAATGACTGTATGAATCAATTCACGCTCATATTCGTTAACCAGCCAAAGACATGTCCATAACAATCCAGTTCCGATTTATATTAAAAAAAAAAAAAACTGCTGATAACGTTGATAACAATTATCAATCTCTACCAAAACATCCAAATGCAAATTACAAAAGTAGAGGGCGCTCGCTGCATAGACTTCGCATTTTAGTACCTCCCTCCCTTCATCGCCCTTTTCAGCTCTCGTTTACCCTTTTAACCACAACCTCGCAGAACCCGACGCT